ACCCCACTCTCTCCCCCCAACGATGGGGATCAAATACATGAAATCTAAAAACCGCCTCGATACGCTTAAGGAACTGTGTCGAGCCACGCCTCGAGCTGACGTCCACTTCAACACATCCGGGTGGGCGGCAACGGTGAACTCATGGGGCGAAGGATGAAGAGCACGCCCGAACTACCTCAGTCGTCTTCGATGGAGGCCCCCCCCCCGATATCTCTGCTACATTGCCGCAGCGAATGCGGACCGAAAGCGACTCGTGAGAAAGTTGGTGCACCTCACTAGGGGAATGACGTCCAGGTAACGGTGGTTAAACATCTCCACTCTCCGCTCAACTTCTATGCGCAGAGCACGGCAGTTATAGTTGAACAGCAGGACTCACCCGACGGATTCCTCGTACCTACGGTTCTTTATGGCGACTGACATTTCGCATCTAACCTATAGACACGGTCTAGGGACTGCGAAAGCCCCTCTAGCAGTTCCCTAGGAAGACGGGTTTCATGCTACTGCACAGACTACAGAGGGGCTGGTGAATTGGTCATGGAAGCTGAGGTGCTCGAAACACAGACGTCAACGCTCGATCTCGGACGAGTTACGAGCAATAAAGCTGTCAATCGCATCGCAAGCAGCCACTGCAGGGTGTCCACCAGTGACTTGACGGATAACGTGCGTGATTTTCGAGTGTCACCGACGTGTCGAAAGCAGGGTCTGTGACGGTAACAGAAGCGGGAGGCAAATGAGCAACATTTGTAGGAGGCGGTTCCTGCACAACCACACGCCCATCAAAATTAGCGGCGCGCAGGCGCCATAGATGATGGCGCTTATTGCTATGATAGTCCCCACAACGGGCTGCACTGTGGATGCGCCAAACCAAAACAGGGACCAGACTGGTTCATAGCATGCGTTAGCCAGAATACGCAGCCCACGCGAGCCCATAACTACTGCAGGTGTAGTGGCACACCCAAACGTAAGCCTCACGTCGCGTCAAGACCGACAGTCAGCCTACAATGGCCCCTCATTAATGTGGTCTTCATGGCCCTCCCATTGATGTGAAATCCGTGTAGCCGTCGTAAAGGACTGATACATGCTTTTGAGACCTGGTCGTATGTGGCACGCGTAGGCGAGCTGTTTAGTTTCGTCAGCCCCTGCGCCCGGGCCCACTTCATATCATCTAGATACTGTCTTTCCATCGGAACTAGGTGAGGGGGGGAGGAGTGAGTGTGGTGGAGATTGCGTAAGTCTGTCTCAATATAAACTGATTCATGAGAAAGTTACTGTCCTGCGTCCATTCCTAGGGCACACGACGGACGTCGCTGTACGCAACAGCCGAACGCTCGTGCGCAGCCAAGTATTGGTAGTCGGCAATTTAGGTTATTGGAGGCAGTGCTGATCCACGTACTTCTTGCGTGGATAGCTACCGTGTCCAGGCAGTCTTAGCACTGAATATGGAGGACGATGAGTCGCCATCTCGTCTTAGGATACTTAGGAAGGCAGGCGGCGTGCCAGATCTCAGCCATCCGCGTCCCAGTAGTGTTGTCTTCACCGGTCCACGACTGTTTTTCCTCGGATCCGAAAGCCAACTTTTTTCACGATTAGCCCTCGCCGAAGGCTGTTCCACCATCCACTATCTGTGGACGTGCTGGGTAGCCAGCGGCTGACTAACAAGTAAGCCCGCACGCCTGTCGCCCAAGTAACAGCCAATATTAATCAATTGGAATATCAGCAATCTCCTAGGTAGAGGTGGACGCCTTGTAGGTTGAAGAAGTGACATCGGTCTTAACTTTTGAAACAAAATGGAAACTGATAGAGTCTAGTCTGAGAAGTTCGTCAGGAACAGCGTGAGGTCCGAAGTTGAGGTTCCTAATTAGTACACCCTAGGACATCATTACGCAGCGGGGTTTGGAGGTGCTACAAATCGGTATACATCATCCGAATGGGGTGACCAATTGAAAACGTGTGCATCCCCCAACGGCATCTTTCTGGCTAATGAGAATTAGTCACGACAAAAAGTCCTTACGCCTAATGACAGACGAAAACGAAACCGTTACGGCTCATGACGACCTTCGGGATGTGCAGTTTGGCCCAAACACCCATGACCGGAACTTCCGAAAAATAGTTCCATGTGCGAATCGAATATTCTTCAACAATGGCTAACCGGTGATAGGAGACGAGTTGTTAGATTCGACTTCTGGTAACGGGAACATTGCTCAGTGTTTACGAAATTCACTGCCCACTGTTTGTGGTCTATGGTTTTGTGACAAAGACACTTTGCTAAATAAAATGTCTTTCACTCCTAACTCCCCTTCCAAGGGGGCAGTGAAAACGCGGTGCGCTGGAGCTTTCAGAGGCATCATTTTCTACTATATACGGAAAACGCGGTTTTCACAGGAAAAAAAATAAACAATTCACATGAGAGCAGTGTAGAAGACTTTCTAGTTAAGAACCGATAAGTTGGCACGATTGGTCAGCTTTTTAAGACCCATGATAACAGGGCTCATACAATGGCCATTATTGTGCTGTGACGATACGAAACACCTGTGGACACTTTTGTTCAGCAATTATAAGAAAGGAGGGAGGACGTCTGGTAGTAATTTATCCACGACTGGAGTGTTGCTTTCAGTAACCGTAACCAAAACCATATTCCTTCTCCTCGTGGCACTCGCTTCCCTTGCAAACAGTGGCGCAGTGACCGTCCTTGCAGTTGTAGCCCTCGTACTCACCGCTGTGGCAGTGTTCTGAGCTGCAGCCGGCGAAGTCTACGCGACCGCTGAATTGGACGTGACCTTTGTACTGGCTCTGTCCCTTGGACCCACCTTTCTCGAAGCGTTTCCCGTAGCCCTCTTGTTCGCCCCAGCTCTCACCACTGGCCTGCGAGTAGGCGTGGGTTTCGTAACAGCCCTTGGGGTGACAAATGTAGGAGCAGCGGCCGGCCTTGCAGCCATAGCCATCAAATCCGTCCTTGTGGCAGGTCGGTTCGTAACACCCATCGAAATAGATGTCCCCCTTGAAGGCCGCCTTTCCACTGAAATGGCCTCCGTCGTGGTACGACGGGAGGTAATGGGCTGAAGCCACGGCGACGAGAGCGCAGAGGATGACGAATTTCATTTTCTCCGTGTGGTTGTAGGACGAACAA